CGTAGGAAAACAAATTTCATGACATTAGTAAATAATCCTCTCCAATTAGTAATTTTATCCACAAAACTAGTATATCTTCTTCCATTAATTTGTAAATTATTTACTAATTAAGTACAACTGTCGTAAAAATTATTCACAAATCTAGTCAAAGAGATTATAACTCTCCTAATTATTAACTTCATTATAGTAACAAAACATTTTATCTAGTAATTATTTACACAAATGTGGTAAACAATCCACCAAAGTTGTAAATATTCCCATAAATGTCGTCAATAGTCCATTGCAGTTGTAAATATTTCCATAAATATGGTAGGAATTCCATTGAAGTTGTAAATATTTCCAAAAATTTGGTAAACAATCCACTGAAGTTATAAATAATCCCATAAAGATGTAAATATTCCCATCAAAGTAGTAAATAATCCATTGAAGTTGTATAGCTTCTTGGATAAGTTATAAATTATTCATAAATTAATTAACCACACACATGTGTGCTACGATCGATCGATCATAACTACCAGAGAATCCATGAAAATTGTAAATATTTCCATAAATTTGATAAGACATACCATTGAACCTATAAAAATGCCCATAAACATGGTAAATGATCCATTGAAGTTGTATATCTCCTTGCAGTAGTTGTAAAATATTCATCAATTAATAACTGTGTTCTGATCGATCGATCACATGTAATGACCGATCATCGACTGGTAAAGAATACATTAAAGTTGTAAATATTCTCACAATTCTGGTAAACATACCACTAAAATTATAAATAGTCCCATAAAAGTGGTAAATGATCCATTAAATTTGTAAGCATTCCATTGCACTTGTAAATGGTCCCACAAATTTCGTACACTCTACTTGTAATTATTTCCATAAACAATCCATTAAAGTTGTAAATATTACCATAAAAGTAGTACATCATCCATTAAAGTTGTATATCCCTTGGATTACTTGTAAAAAATTCATGAATTAAGCACAACTTTGTGTTCCGATCAATTAATCATATTTAATGATTGATCATGAAATAGTAAATAATTCATTAAAGTGGTAAATATTCCCACCAATTTGGTAACACATACCATCGAGGTTGTAAATATTCTCATAAACACTCCATTAAAGTTGTAAATATTTCCATTAATATGGTAAATGATCCATTGAAGTTGTATATCATCTTAGACTAGTTGTAAAATATTCATAAATTAAGCACCTGATCGATCATACATGTTTAATGATCCATCATGAACTAGTAAAGCATCCAGTGCAGTTGTAAATATTTCCACAAATATTGTAAACATACTACTGAGGTTGTAATTATTCCCACAAAATATGATAAAGATACCACTCAAGTTGTAAATATTTCCATAAATTTGGTAAACAATCCATCAAAGTTGTAAATACTTCCATACCATTAAATTTGTAAATATTCCCATAAAGGTGATAAATGATCCATTGAAGTTGTATATCATCTTGGACTAGTTGTAAAATATTCATAAATTCAGCATTTGTTTTCTGATCGATCATGCATATTGATTGATCGATCATGAACTACTACTAAAGCATCCATTGAAGTTGTAAATATGCCCACAACTTTTGTAAACATACCACTGAAGTTGTAATTATTACCACAAATTTGACAAAAATACCACTGACTTGTAAATATTTCCATAACTTTGGTAAACAATCCATTGAAATTGTAAATACTTCCACAAATTTGTTAAACAATCCATTCAAGTTATAAATATTCCTTCAATATAGTAACAAAATTATTAGTAATTGAATATTTATAACTTCAGTGGTATATTTACCAAATTTGTGAAAATATTTACAACTTCAATGGTATGTTTACCAAATTTGTGAAAATCTTTACAACTTCAATGAATTCAAATATTTACAACTTCATGGGAAGATTTGATCGATCGTGGGGAGAGTTGATCGATCACAAACTTACTGTTTTTCAAAAAAAATTGGGAGAGACTACTTCAACCTTCCGATATATCACAAGATCTTAGGATAGATCGCAAATATTTTGGAGATAAAAAAAATAATAATTTTGGTATATTCTAAAAAATATTAATAATTGTCACTTTTATTTACCACTTTTATGAGAATATTTATAATTTGAATGAATTCTTTATGAGAATAATTACAACCTCAGTGGTATGTGTTACCAAATTTTTTTGTTTAATTGATGTATCAAAAATATGTTTAATAAAAGTTCAATTTTAATATTTTTTAAAAATTTATCCAATTTTTTTTAACAATAAATTTAAAATTGAATTTTTATTAAACATAATTTAAAATTGAATTTTGAAAAATCGATCAAATTGTTGTTTGATCTATCAAATTCTTGTGATAGATCATAAACATTCATAAAATTTTTCCCACTATTGTTGTAAATTTTTCAACAATTAAAATTTTGGTATGACTAAAGTTAGTTTAAACACTGAAAGAAGGACTCTAGCTTAATTAACTATTAAAATTAAAAACACCCCAAAAATGAAATCCTAGATATTCAAATCAAATATAATGGCAGAAAGTCTTGACATATTAAAAATCACTAAATATAGAATTCAAGCCAATTGTTGTTCAACCAGCAAAACAAAATAAACAGTAAAAACAATTCGTGGCTGTAAGGATCGAGAGGTACCAAAAAAATAGTGGGTAGTGTTATTGCCAACTTACTAGACTCCAAATACAAGTAGGTCAGAGTTTATCAAAGAGGCACACAGTTGCCAAAAAGTAGAACAATCAAGAATCTTGTCTAATTTTCTCTTGATTTTTGTCCAACACTTTCACTCCCTTCTTTGATTTCGGAGCTTTTTAACCAAACTCCTGTGGTTTGGGAAAAAATTTCTCACAATAGGATGGTTCTGAAAATTCTCACTTCCTTTATCATCAAACATTCTACCATTTTATGGATTCTACACAGATCTCGATGGTATTACGTGATATGGACGATCGCATGACTTACGCAATGAGTTGTCAAAGCTCATGCCAATTTGACACACATCAGCTATGTGATTATTAGCTCTGCCACAGTTCTATTACCATCTATCGGGGCTAAGGTGGAGAAAATTTTAGTTCTAATGATATGAGTTTGAAGTATACTATTATTGGTATGAGTTACGGGTGTCAAAAATAGGTTCAGCTGATATGTACGTATGATGAAACTTAAGTAATTATGATGATATCATAGCAAGACTTGAACGTGAGAATAATTAGATGCAACGACGCTTGTATTGATTTCATGCAATTAAATACACAAAGATAGAGCATTCAAATCCTGGAAAATAAAAAGAAGAAAAGAAAAAAGATCATGAACGATGCTATTGATGAAATTATGGGAGATTCATTCATGACTTTTGATCTGAACTTTTCGACTTTACTGATTCAAGTGATGATAACTTTAAAAAATATCTCCTTATTAGTCTATGCATATATAACAAAACAAACCACTGTGTTGTTTGGACCACTTACAAAATGCATTTCTCAGATCATCAGTTGCACATGTTAGCAATGAAAATGAAGATAAGAATGTAGTTATTTGCAAACGTAATTTGAAAAAAAACAAAAAAAAAAAAGAAACTAATGACATTGAAAACTAGATTGAATTGGCGTTTTTCTCGCAAGCGCACCAACTAGCCCGAAATATTGCATTAATTTGTGTTAAAAATATCATTTGGATTGACATTTTTATTTTAAAAACGTTTAGATTGACGTTTTTAAAAAATTACATAGGTTTAAAAATTAATTTAAAAAATCACCTCATTATAGGAATTTTTTTGCCAAACCACTTCAATTTGGTAAAAAGCTCTTTGATTTGGCCAGTTGAAAATAATCTCATTCAGAGGAGATGTTTCAGTTTTTGTATTTGCGGTCAAAATATTTTTACCTTATGACCGTCGATTTCATTTCAGGCTGTGTACAAAATTAGCTTAGTATTTTCAACTTGTACTCTGGAAAATTACTCAAATATTAATTGTACCCTTAAAATTTAAAAATATTAATTTATATTCTGAAAGAGATAAATTCGTATCAATGTACACCTAGAGTTAACTCCGTCCATTTTTGCCGATAAAAAACTTTAGACTAATTATAAATTGTACCTCTCAAAGTTTAAATACTTCATATTTATGATTCAAATTCATCCATTAATACTCGTTAAATAACTCTCAATTGTATTATATCATTACATCTTCATATCATGTTTGAGCAAGTAGAAAAAAATTTAAAATTAAAAAAAATTATAAAATACAAATTTTTTACCTACAATACTCGTTAAATAGTTATTTTCTATCTACAGTTAAATACAAATCTTTTGATTATCCAATTAAATTAAAGTTAAATATGAATAACACAGCTATAAACTAAAAATAATTATTTAACGAGTATCATAGGAAAAAAAATAAGTACTTTTTAATTTTTAAAAAATATTAAATAGTGTTATATAAATTGTCATAAATGTGAAATATATAGCACAACGTAATTAACTCGACAATAAAATATTTTTTGTGTTAAAAATAATTTTAATTTACTCAAACATGATACAAAAATGTTATGATACGATATAATTAAGAGTTATTTAACAAGTATTAATGAATATAATTCTTTTTAGATCATAAATGTGAAAATTTTAAACTTTGAAAGTGTAATTTATAACTAAATGGCAAAATAGATGGAAGTTAGTGTTAGATGTACATTGCTACGTATTTATATCTTTTATGAGATAAATTAATATTTTTAAATTGAGTAATGCTAGATAGACTTAAAAATTAGACTTGATAATCTCAACCATTGAATAGGTAGTAGAATCCAATAAATGCTGGATCCACAGTGAATTTAATGATTGGGATTATCAAGTTTAGTTTTTAAGTCTATTTTTAAAATTCACATTGCTCTTTTAAATTTTAAGGGTAAAAATTAAATTCGAGTGATGTTTAAAGGTTCAAGTTGAGATTAGCCCGCAAATAAAGCAACATTCTTTTGCTAATGCCGAAAAAACAGAGACAAAGCTCCATGCTCAGGGCCTAAGCAATTGGGGAATTATTCTCTTCAGTCAAAACCCTTCTGCTATAGAACGAGGTATGTCATTCTCTTACCTCCAATACCCTAATTTGTTTTTGCAATCCTGACCCTTTATTATATAGCTGTAAATTTAAACCCTAACCCTTAAACCTTCTTGTTGTTTCTCTTTTTTATGAAATTAAATCTTTGAAGCCACTGAACCAGGTGTAAGAAGAGAAGAAAATTGAGTATTGTAGAGACATTTGTGTTTGTTTTGTTGATTCTTGATGAAAAAGAGTACCACATCAGAGATGGGTCGGAGGTCCATTCGTAATCGTAAAGCTGATCGGCTCAGTAGCTTGCCTGATGAAGTTCTTTCTCACATTCTCTCTTTTCTTCCTCTGAAAGTTGCAGCTGAAACCAGCATCCTCTCAAAAAGATGGAGAAACCTTTGGACTACTGTCACTAATCTTCATTGTGGTGATGACCTCTCTGAACTTTTAAACCCTGACAACGATTTAAAGAATAGTCTTTTTGGTTATGCCGGATTTGTAGATAGAGTGCTGATATCTAACTCGGCACAGATTCAGAAGTTTAGTCTGTCATGTTATTCAAAATATGACCCCAATTGTGTCGCTATCTTGGTGAGTGAAGCAATTAGGCGTGATCTTCGCGAACTTGAACTATACATCTACACTGGCTGGAGTATTGAGTTGCCCATGTGTCTTTTCACTTGCAATTCACTCGAGGTTTTACGGCTTCATGGCAAGATTGATATTCCTGGCAAGATTGATATTCCTGACTCCTTTTGGATCCCAAATCTGAAAGTCCTTTGCATTAACCGTATACGTGATGTTTTTCCTCTCAAGTTCATGCAAAACCTCTTTCGTTGTTGCCCTGGACTTGAGGATGTAATTTTGATCGGATTTCTACGTTTAGAGCAATAATTGATTTTTGAGTTGTCTGCCCCTGCTTTGAAGAGATTGATGTTAGCACTGAGTAGACAACGTGATGTTCAGCCCGGAATCAAATTTGTGCTTAATACTCCACATCTTCAACATTTATATCTTGGAACACAATCTGTTGGCAAGCTATTTTGTGGAGAACTTGTCATCCCTAAATGAAGCAATTGTTGGAGTGAGATATGCCTTAAAAAAAGGCATAGAATATGCGAATTGGATACTTGAACTTCTCAGACGAGTCACTAGTGTTAAGTCTCTGTTATTGAATAGAGACACAATGGCGGTAAGTTTGCTCTATCTGCCTTATGCAAAATACACATCATTGAATTCACTAACTTTATTGCTTGCAGACTTGTATTCAACAACGCCTTGGCTGACTATTAATCTTTCTTTCATGCCTTTTAAGCATCTCGGATTTGCTAATGATACCCATCTTTCATAATTTAACCCATTTGGACTTCTATTTCTTAGAATTGCTTTAATTACTGAGCCATTTGTTAAAATCTAGTCCAATAACCCTGAGATTGTCTATTCAAATCTGAGGGCAGTCACTTTATGCAGAATAATGTCATTTGTTTTGTTTGTGCTTTGATGATTGAATGACACCAACATTTGACAAACGTAAAGGGTCTTGTTCTATCTTTGCTTTTAAATAGCTTTGTATCATCCATTGAATTTTGATAGATTTTGTTGATCTGGTTTTTGTAATGCTCGAGGATTTATGAAATTGTAGCTTCCTGTAACTTTTTAGATGCCCTCAATTCCTGGTTGTTCGTGGAACGTGTTAAAGACTATAAACCAATTGTACTACCGACTATGCCCGTTGTGATTTCTTGGTCACTACTGCTGTGGTTTTGCCTTAACAATCCAATTACAATATTGAAAAATTAGTTATTCCTCATGTTTGAAGGTACGGAATAATAAAAAAAATGGCCANCCGTTAAGCTAACAATCCAATTACAATATTGAAAAATTAGTTATTCCTCAAGTTTGAAGGTACGGAATAATAAAAAAAATGGTCAACATATTTATATTTACACCTAAAATCAAATTATAAATATAGAGGAGAGATAAAAAAAATTTAAATANCTTAACAATCCAATTACAATATTGAAAAATTAGTTATTCCTCATGTTTGAAGGTACGGAATAATAAAAAAAATGGCCAATATATTTATATTTACACCTAAAATCAAATTATAAATATAGAGGAGAGATAAAAAAAATTTAAATATCGATTATAATAGGGGTGAACGGTGGTAGTGGTGGTGGGATAGTGGTAATGGTTGTGGTGGGTAAGCCGATGGCCGTGGTGGTGGTAGTAGCTGTGGGTGATAATGGTGATGATGGTGGTGGATTTTGAGTAACGATGATGGTAGTGGCAGTCGTGGGTGATAACAATGGTGGTGAGTGTGGGCGGTGGTGGTGGTAGTGGTGGGCGACGATGAGTGCTTCTAGGCGACAGTGTGATGAGTGGTGGCGAATGGCGGCGGTGGTAAGTATAGTGGGGGTAGGTGACTGTGGGTGGCTATAATGGTGAGCGATGACAAATGAGGGCAGTTGGTGGTGGCTATAGACGACGATGATAGCAATCGGTGGTGGATGGCGGTGGGGTGGGGGCAGAGGTGGGGCAATGGCAATAGTGTGGATGGCGGTAGAGCAGTGAGGGTAGCAATCGGTGGTGGGTGGCGGTGCGACAGTGGGAGTGGGGTATGGGTGGGGGTGGAGCTGGGGCAGTGGCGATGGTGGGGGTGGCGGTGGTGATGGTAGTTGTCATGGTCATGAGAGTGGTGGTGGGGCGATGGGGGTGATGGTGAGACAATAACAACAGTGGTAAGGTGCGACAACTATAGTGGTGGTGATTATGCTGGAGGGTGGTGATAGTGGTGGGACAATGAAAATGGTGATGGTGGTGGTAAGATGGTGACAACGACGGTGGTGATGAGGTGGAGGGTATGGTAGGGTGGCGATAATGATGGTGGCAGCGAGGATAATANGGGGGTGATGGTGGGACAATAAGAACAGTGGTAAGGTGCGACAACTATAGTGGTGGTGATTATGGTGGAGGGTGGTAATAGTGGTGGGACAATGAAAATGGTGATGGTGGTGGTAAGATGGTGACAACGACGGTGGTGATGAGGTGGAGGGTATGGTAGGGTGGCGATAATGATGGTGGCAGCGAGGATAGTAATGGTGGTGGGGGTGGTGGGGGTAAAGGTAATAGTGGAGCGGTTTCAAACACTATTTTTTTTAAAGTACTTATGAGAAATAATTCGTAAAAATATTTTTAAAAAATCACTTCAAACACATCTTTAGGACCTTATTTTTCCTATTAATTTTGGAGTGTAAATATTAGCCGTTAAATTAACTTTAAAGTAAAATTTAAGATGATCTCAATTGTGAATAATAAAAGTTATTTTATTTATTTTTTGAAATTTGAATTGTACTATATTTCATTATATAGATTACTTTTAAGGGAGACTTACAATTCGATATCATAAATTAGGGTTAAAAGATTGGGAAGTAAGGTTTATCAACTCCCTTGGATGAATGATTTCTATGGTTTATGTTTCTTTTATGTTTTGTTTGATACAATGAAAAAATTGAATGATAGAAAGTAAAAAAGATAGATAAAACATCATGTTCAGTAAGAAAGAAAAATAATCTAGAAAAATAGACGGATTAGTTTTATTTTCAACCCACTAAAATCTATTCCTCCAAAATTAAGAGGAAAAGTGTGTTAAAAGTGAATTACGTGCGTTGAAATATATGTTATTTACCTCTATATCCTTTAATATATACATATATGATATTTATTTATTATGTATTACGTACACATTAATCTTATATATAGATACAATGGTAAAATATGTGTTTGTAGTTTTCTTAACTATCCACTTTTTCTTCATACCAAACATAAAAAATCAATCCTCTCAAAACAAACTCAAATGAGGGAAGAAAAAATTCCTCCCGTAAAAGATAAAAAGTATATAACTTATACTTTTTTTCATTCTATTTGTTTCATCTACCCTACCACACACATCATTAGAGACGATATCAAGTTATGAGTCAATATTTCATGAAAGATTTACAGGAAAACTTCCTTGAGATATTTTCGCTTTAAACAAAATTTCTGACTCCACATTATA